ATTTAAAAAATATTAACATTCGAAATCAAATGACACCGTAAACCCTACAAATGAAAGTGTATAAGTACGATCCTAATCAATTCCTCAAGAGGTTCATTGGCTTTAACCCAATAAATTTAAAAATGTAAATTTATACCATAATTCTTCCACTGTGGCATCGACGCTGTATGTACGACGTCGGCTGCGTTTCCCATCATTCACGTTTTCTTTCTCTTTGCACAAACATGGATGCCGAAGAGGGAAGAGAGAATGAAAGAGTCAACCTTGCAGATGATCCTTCCAACAGAGCGATGGTCCAGATGGATCTTCATCTTCTTCCTCCCGAGATTCTGCTCGAAATCCTATCAAGACTTCCGATCAAATCTCTGATCGACTTCAAGATCACTTCCCATGCGGGCTATAATTTAATTGCCGATCCAAGTCTCCCTCTGATGTTCCGTGATCGGGTAAGCGACTCAGACCCATGTCTGATTCTGTTCAACTATAATTCCCCTATCTCCCGGCGACTCTATTTTTTGGATAGTGAAGATTGGAGTAGAGGGGTTAGAAATATCGACCCACCACAGCATTCGGAAGTTTATAATCTGGTGGGTTCTTGTAACGGGCTGTTATGCTTATCCTTTCCCATAATCGTTGGTTCATCGGTGTCTCACAGGCTGCTAATTTACAATCCTTTTGTTGGAGATGCTGTGAGAGTCCCACCAGCGAACCCTTTTCCAAATCAAAGTGAAGTTTTTGGATTTGGGTTTCATCCGAGGACAGGAGAATTCAAAGTGGTCAGGATTGTGAGGTACGACAAGATCGTGGCGGTAGCAAACCTGAATGTATTCACAACCGTTCGTGAATCAATGGTTCAGGTGTTTACCGTAGGAAAAATAGAATGGAGAAACAAAGGAGCCCCGCCTCCGCCTCCACGGTTCACCGTCGCGGTTCGAAACAGACCAGCTGAGGCTCTAGTAGAAGGATCTCTCAATTGGGTGATTGTTGGTGCGAGGGATAGAATCTCTCGTATTATCTCCTTCGAGCTTGCAGATGAGGTGTTTGTGGAAATTCCGCGCCCACCTTGTCAACGATTTGCGTCACTTGACTACAGTCTTTCCGTTCTCAATGGGTGTCTATCTGCAACTGGGTTAGTTAATGCTGTGCAATTTGATATCTGGGTGATGAAGCAATACCATGTTGAGGAATCTTGGGTAAAACAGTTCTCCTTTGATCCCTATTTTCCTGGTGCATGGCCAAGCTTCTTGAGAAGAGTTCCCAAAGTTATATGTGCACTGAAGAATGACGAGATTCTGTTGCGTTATGATGACAATTCTCTGGTTTCTTATGATCCTGTGGAAAAAAGATTCAAGACTCTTCAAATAAGTGGGTTACCCAATTATTTCCAGGCACTTCCTTTTCTACCTTCTCTTTTCTCAGCAAAGGCAACCATGAATTTGCAACTTTAACACTCTCTCTTGAATCAACCCTTTTCCTGTAAGACTCTACTACTAGTTTTCAGTTTGTGTTGAATCTTTGATCATCAATGCATCAGCAACAGTTGTGTTATTTACATCATCATGGATAATCTCTGTTGTATGGCAATGAGATCAACCTGACTATTATCTGCCTTTTTCTCGAAAAGCAGTTCTGAAGAACGGGGAGATTGTGTTGCAGTGTAACAGGTGTCATAATGCTTTTCTTGGAATGGTGATTGAAGATTTTGCTTCAATCTGGGTGGGAAGATTCATAAGAGTTTTATGTGTCCTGAAGAACGGGAAGATTGTGTTGGAGTGTAACAGGAAAGCTCTGGTTTCTTATGATCCTAGAACTAACAGGTTCAAGGCACTAAAGATCAACCGGCTCCCGTAGCAGTTCCAAGCTTTTGCTTTTCAGCATACTCTGTTCTCAGTAAAGGAAAGGTTTGAAATAATCTTCCCAACTCTTCTTTAGTATACGGATATATAATTTCCTCTGCTTTAATCAGGCTTCCATTGTTTATATATTGATTAATTAACCATGTTTTGTAGTTACTTAAGTTGTGACTCCCACCAAACATAGTACTGACAGGTTTCACTCTATAATTTTGTTCTTAAGAAATTGACAATTTGATGATGTGATTTGTCAAATAAGGGGAGGCTATTACATTGATATTTTAGGTTTCCATCAACCATGTATGATTATGGTTTCTCTCTTTAATGAAGAAATTGCCAAATTGGCAAGTGATTTAAACTCATTTACCCTGCGCCTCAGAGTTTTGAGCAATGAGACAAGTGTTAAGAGATTTGAGAAAGCAAATGGTATTCCCTAGTTGTATTGTCATTAAGGTCCCTTGGTAAACATTTTAGGGAGGGATTTGGAAAGTAAAAGGGCTATTAGACTTGTTTGGATTAGTTTTTTCAAAATAACTAATTAGTTGATATCTAATTATTAAAATCTTATAATCCAAATTAATCTAATTTTATATTGGCTTAGTTTGTTTTTTAATTAAATTAAGTAAGTGTGGATCAGATTAATTGGATTGGATATCAACAACCTTAGTTTCTACATTTATATACACAATTTTATTCCACATTTGAGTCTGACAATAGATAGCTAAGTAATATTAAATGAGTTAATATGAAAAGAGGCGATTGTGAGGTAAAATTCTGCGTAACATTTTTCTATTTTCCAATCTGCTTTCTATACCATCTGGAAAATTATACCATCAAAACAAGCAAAATAGGAAGTTTCACAGAATAAGAGCGAAACTTGCCATGGCAGGATTGTAAAGGCTTGGACTTAGCCAAAGACCCAATCTTTTTATATCCCCTTTCCTAGGAATTGATTCATTTTATCTCTTTTAAGAAAATGATTATTAGTTAAAATTGTAAAAAAATAAATAAATAAAAAAATACTATAACATAATCTCATTTTAATAAATTCTTATCAAAAAATTAAAATAATTATTTTTTAAAAATGAAAATAATATTGTTTTGATTTTTTCTTATAATTTTTTATTAAAATATTATAATTTTAAAATATTTTTAATTTAATTTTTACAAATTTGACTGTTGAATAGAAATCTTCATCATCCTTTCTAATGATCTGATGTTCTTTTCTTTGTTCTCATCAGGTTTTTCTTCTTTTTATTCAATACCTGAAAGCTACAAAGCCATGGATCTGAATCCTGAGAAGGGAAGTAAGAGGAAGAAAGCCACCCTTCCAATGGAAGATCTGCCTGGAAAAGGGATGGATGGATCTTCTTCCCTCAAAAGTTATCATCGACATTCTGTCGAGACTACCCATCACCTCCCTTGCTCAGTTCAAGTCTCAGTGATCATATTATATCTTTTTATTTTTTATAGTCATTAGATTTTTTTTTCTGTAAATCTTATATCATCCAAATTGAAATCTTTTTATGCTGGATGGTGTGAGAAAAAGTATAAATAAAAATATTAATTTTATATT